GGTGCTAAGAAGATTAGAGAGATTAAATAAGCATTTAGAATCATGAAAGGAAAGCCAGAGCAATCTTACTCTTGTTAGAGGAAGCTGAACTGGGGAAGCAGAGGACTTGGGCCAGGTGAGTGTCCTACAGCACAAGCTGGAAGGTGATGGAGGCCTGAAGACTCCCCGTATCCACTGGATCAGGCTCCTCAGAGGTTGTTGATCCCATTTTCCATGGTCAGGCTCTCTGGGATGAATGTAAGGTGGGAGGCTCGTGGCAGAAAGGTGGACACACACAACACCCTCACGGTGCAGTTCAGCACAGAAGCTTGATGGACACTGAGAAAACAGAAGGGAATTAGCATTAACAACCAGCCTGCTGCTCTATTAGAGATGCTGAAACACATGGATATCCTAACCCATGCCAGGACTGGTCCTCAGGGAATTACAACTACCTATTCTCTGCTAGGAATACACGAGTCATACATATCATTACCCAGTTTGACTATGTTTTTACCTGCACTGTTGTAGTACTTTGACAACATGGGTTGTCCAGAGCTGTCATTTTTGCCAGCACCTCCTGTTGCTTTCTCTGAAAAGCTCTGTGGCGATGCCTGGGCTGCACACTTGGCCCACCACCACTAAAAAATCCATCCCTCACATAGAAACCATGGATGGAACTATGCATAACATTCCCAAATCTTGTGGCTCACACTAACTCCATAAAAACACCAATCTGTGGAATTCAGGGAGTGGTGCTCAGAGCTTGAGCCCTAAAATCAAGCCCCGAGGCTCTGCTGAGATTCCTGATTTCCAGGTAGGAATGAATAACAAGCTGAGCCAGCAATCAGCAAGTTGTTCTGAGAGCCACTGCCTGATTTATGGTTCCCAAAGCTCCTGGGTTTCCTTGTGTGAAATATATAAATAAAAATAAATAAGTACATTATTGCTAGTTGCTTCTGCACTAAAACACTATGCAAGAACAGTAATTATTTTCCAGTTGAAAATGGAGCTCCACACTTTTGTGGTGGCACTGCCATTTTAAGGATTGGCATGTTCCTCCTTTCATTACTACCCTATTTCCCTTTCAAAACAAAAGTTACACTAGTTACTATTGTAACAGCCTGCATATAATCTGCTGAGAATAAATACCCATGTAATGAGCCTGAAATGATATGGTAATTTCTTAATTCAAAATAATTACATGGCTATTTGTGCCCTCTAAAATAAAGTATTACTTACTCAGCCCAAACAAATTGCTGTTTGCCCAGGTTTTGAACTCTGGTAAACAGTAGCAGAGCAGTCATCTGCATATAGAATCCTGAGACAATTTTATGTCAGATGTTTACTTACACAGAAACAGAAACAAATATTTGTCAAGGCAACAAGCAGATTTTAGTACAACCAGGGGAAAAACAGCAGAAAGCCCTTGGAAATAGGACTGAAAACATAGCCAAGACAGAGTGCTACAAGGGCACCAGCTGGCTCAAAGTCACCAAGGTGCCCTCTAAAACATCTCACGAGCTTGAAAATGTTAGATAAGAGGATGGGAATTGTTTAGTTTATTTTGGCTTGGCATTTGTGTCTGAGTTGAGTGCCTGGACTCAACTGTGCTGCCTGGAGATACAGATAGGACAGTCACCACATGAATGCAAACTGGAAGGAAGGAAAGGAGGAGTGAGGGCAGACAGACCTTCAAGCCACTGATTCCAGCCAGCTTTCCTCAAGTCAAAAAACCAGCTTCCACTGGCTTTGAAGAAGGCTGAGGAAGCCTAGATTTCAGAGCACTGATAGAAGATTTAAAAATCATATTCTGAGCAGCAGTAGAAGGCTTTCCACTGATGTGAATAATGTGAGCTTGGATGCTCATGACCACTGACTTCTCAAAGATAATTCTCTGCTCTCTCAGACTGGAAAAAGGACTGTTAAGGAAGGGCTTGGAATTGGACTGATGCCACTTTGTGGATAAAGGCAGAGCCCTTCAAGACCCAGAGTGGAGATCAAGTATCTCACAGACACCCATTGAGTGAACCATGAGTGGACTAAATTGAGTGCACTACTTTTCATCTGAGGTGATTAAATATTTAAGCCTCGAATGCAAATCAAATTCACACTTGATTTTATACTCCTGTATTACACAGCTACTCCTCCTCTATTTTGCTTGTCACTTAAACACATTGGATTGAGTTTTATACCTGCATTTATATTTTTGGAGAGTTTGCTAAAAGAAGTGAACCTATATACAAGATCTGCTTGCAGTTTCCTACTTCCAGGAAAAAAAAATTATGAAATTAGCTGAAATCTGGTCTATGACGGTTAAGTGTGCCTTGGGTGAGAAATAAAACTCAATTTTTTCCACTTAAAAAACAGGCATTTTGAAGAAGCCAGATATTCAGAGGCTCACAGATCACAAAGAAATAATACAGGCTGTTTTTACAGATGTTTTCAACCTACAACATGGTGATCCAAAAGGTATGATGAATTATGCAGAATCACTGCTTTGCTTCCAGAAGCATCTTGTGTCTGCTAACAAGTCACCTGCTGTTCTAAACCTGTAAGAAAGAAAATTATTGCATATTTTCTGCTAAGATACATGCAAAAATAGCAAAACTTTGCATGACTTCAGTGGTAGAATTCATTTTTATGCACGATTTAAAATTTGTTATTTCAGCATCAAGTATCTCTTACTCTGTTTGTATATTATAGTTGGACTGTTCCAATATTTTCACTTAGCATTCTTGCTGCTGAAAAATCATCACTGTACTCTTTGCTGCATTTGCTGAAGATGTTAAAGGTGTAATTTGGAACACTTGACCTTACAAGAAAAATTGCAGCTTGTTATAGTATCAACAGAGCCATTGTTAAAACCCCTCAACACAATGTTTTGCATTGTTTGAAAACAAGCTGCATGTAAGAGTGCAGCATAACACTGTGTGCTACACCATTTAATTATTATTTTTTTCCCAGAAACCATTTGTTTTTTTTCTCTCCTTATTTGCATTTCTTATGGCTCAGGATGTAGATTATGTGCCCTGAAAGGTTGTCTTCCTGGAAGCAGTTTTCTGGTTGTTTTATCCTACACACCCTTCCTACGGCCAAGTGCCTTCAGGCTGCTTTGTGCTCTTTAATGCCAGGTCAGTTTAATTCAACCTCGCTCTTTGCTAAGGTTGCCTTGCCATTCTGTGTACCACTATTGTTTTAGGTGCTCTTCATGCTAAATAGTTGCATGTTTTCACGAGGACATTGTGAAGCTCTCTACAGTTTTCTATAGAGATTCTCTAAGCACCACAGAAGAAAAAAAAACCCAACAATGACAGGGTTCAGCATTCAAAATTCTGATTCTAGTAGCAGTGCATGCAGGTGCTGTTGCCCATTTTGAGTGATGATGTCCAGATTAGCTTAAACAGATCAGCTAAAACTTTGGCTTTTATTCTAATGTAGGTGTCATTATATCCACTTGAATAAATTCATTTATCCATCTCAATGATATTGCTTGTTTCAGCTTGTTTGGTTTTAATTCAGGCCTGAGCTGCTCTGTAATCATTTGTTCAAGTTTATGACATTACACATTGTTGACTAATAGCTTCATTTTGCTGAGTTTCCATTTATTACTGTCACTATTACAGCAGGATTTAAATTTTTGTAACCTGCCTATCCTAGCATGAATCTCATTTCATTGACGTTCAACACTGATCCTGAGGGCTCCTCTTTGACTGTTTGTCACCCAAGGATCAAATAGTTTTGCTGCTGACTTTTAAAATCAATTATAATCTTGCAGGATTTGGCTGAGAGGATAACCCAAAGTGAAAGGCAGGGAGTCTTAAGAGAGAGAGTTTCCCAATGCATTATATAAGATTGATTTTCCATGGGCAGAAACAAAAGGTCAGCTAAAGGGGAAAAAAAATAAACCAAAAGCCACACAAAAACCCCCCAATCTAGAGTCAAGTCTTTTCTATGATACCTGAAAAATATGCATAAATCTGTTTTTCAGTCACTGAGTTTTAGGATTTGGTACAAAAGAGAACACCACCACAAAGTGCCAGAGGGATGCTGTTGAAAACCATGTGTACAAGTTCTCTTAAAGGGCATGTACTGCAGGTACCACCTGACAAATGCTAAACAGATTGGGATGATCACATCTCTGCTACTAAAAGAAAAAAATATTGAATACCCATCATTAAATCCCTTTATTTAACCTACTATTACAAAAATAGAAACTTAAAATTGAATTAAACCACAATTTATCATTTCAACAACAATATCCCTCTCTCTGCTTTCCAATATTTGTAGTTTCATTAACTGGGTCTGAGTTAAATCTCCAAGTTCAATAAAAAAATTGAGCCAAACTGAAATACTGTGCTAGGTGATTTTCCATGAACAGATAAATAGATAAATGCCTTCACTTTCAGAGTTGTTCCTTGTCTGTATAAATGACAAATACAGATTAATGGAATCCTCAGGAAAAGAACAATATGGTAACTTAATGGAATGAGCAAATGTTTCCTTGAAACTACCCTTTCACACAGAATTAAGAATAATTCTTCTTTAAATTCCCAGCAGGTACATGCATTTGCCTCCCACTCTGAATTAGGCTGAAAAGGTACTGAATTTGAAAACTGTTTGAGGAATTACTCACGTATGGATAAGCAGGAGAGCCACTAAAACCAGATTAAAACTAAATATATTTTAAAGGCAGATTTTAACAACATCCCGAATAATCCCATAAAACAGACATTAAAATGCACGATCTGGCCCAGCAATTCTCAGTGACTGCTGTTGTTTGATCAGTAATAGGGAAGAAGCTGGGGGAAAGGCAGAGCCAGAAAGCAGGAACACGTGATGGGGCAGCAACTCTGGGGAAGGTGGAAGAGCTGCAAATAGAAAACTTGCAAGAGAAGTTAAGGAGGAGGCCAGATGGGCTGGCAGAAAACACTACCCAGAGAAGCCCCAGGTAATATAATTGCTTAACTGGTGAGCATGTCTGAGCCAGGAGCTGCAGGACTGCCCTTTACTTGCCTTTCCAAGCAGCACGTTGCTACAGGTATCTTCTCTTCAGCCCTTCCGCTCTTCGGCTTCTCCTTCCCACACCGAGAATCTCCCCATTATTGAGAAAATAGTCATTACAGGAGCAATCCAGTGGTTCCTGGGAGACACAGGGTGACCTTTTCAGATGCATATATTGACAGAGAATTCAATTTCTGAGCTATTAGCACATAATTTTACCTAAAAACTATGTCTGGAAATATTTTCTTAATGCCAAAATTTTCTTCAGAAAATTGAGTATTGGGTTTGTTTCAACCAAATTGAAGGAATTTATTATATTAAACGGGACAACACATTTTGCTTTAAAATCAATGATTGCCAACTGCATTTTTTTAAGAATACTTCCTTCTGGGAATTCAGACATCTTTAGCATAAGTGAGCAAGACCTTCAATTTGCTGCAGAGTTGTGTATGTCATTATCTAGCTACACATATTCCAATTATTTCATCCTGGGAGGAGCAGTTCTCAGTCCCACAGAGAAAATTGGAGGTCAGGCAATAATGGCAATAGAAAGGCTGAGCAGCTCACGACCAAAAGAAAAAGAACCAATTCAGTTGCAGGAATGCAGTGTTTTAGTGCAATCAAAAATGACCCCCCCAAAAATGTCAGCGTTTCCAAATCAATGTTCTTTGAAATCAGGTGTTACAACTTTGCCTTCTCTGGAAACAAAAGCAAACACTGAAATATCCAAAGGGAGGAAAAGGTGCAATTTCTTCTCATCTGCTTGTGCCTGCTCCCCATTTTAACACACAGCCTAAATAATGGAGGCTAAAAGGTTAAAATGGTTAAAAAGTTATAATCTGAGCTCCACAGTAAAAGTTACTATGACAGACATGAGTCACGGGAACCCTGCCAGTGCAATGAAAGTTTTATTTGGGGTAGAATGTTTGTGACTGAAATCTAAATACAAACAAACATATGTATAATGTAACTGTTCATGCACCTACAAGGCACTAAAAGCAAAATCACAAAGATGTCCTGTCATCAGAGCTCAGCATTAATTTACTTTTTGATTCCAGTCAATTTGTTATCACAAATGCTCTCAATTAAAATGTTTTATTTGATACAGGGTGAATTTAAACAATCTTTTTTATTCTGGTGATAGAGATGCACTTAGCAGCATATAAAATAGTGATTTAATGGGTACTTAATGGTCTGAAGCTCTAAACGAACAAATCATAAATTAAGGCTTTTGTAGCCTTTTATGCTTTCCCATTTGGATCCTAAAAAAACAATTTGCATTCATTATGTAGGTCTAATATACAATACCTTGCCTCCCAATGACATTCAGCTGCATCCCAATATTTGCCCCCACAGAATAACTGACACTGTTACCTTTGGAAGAGCTTCTAGTTTGAGGTCTGAGACACAATCTTTCCTTGCCAAGGGTGGACAGAATGGTTTCAGACTCCTCCAGGTGACTCTGAAATTGCTGTAATATCCAGATTGTGAGCAATCACTGACAAAAAAATCCATTTCTTTGTCTGCAGTTCACTTCATAATTTCAGACCAGTCAGTAGGGGCGGATTTTTGAAACCTTATGAAAACTGAGCAGAGAGCCTTGATAAGTAAATAAGTTTGCAGTGAGACTATACAAAAGAAATTCCTTCTCAAAAATTAACCTTAAAGGAAAATGTAACTCCTTTGCTTTTTTCTTAAATATTTTACCTGTGTCCAAGAAGCCTGAAGTGCTTTTGTGTATGTCTTTCACATCTGCTGTGTAGAGAACCCAGCAGCCTCAAATGGCAGCACCTTCCTGGCATGGAAAAACCTTAAAAAATGGGGTCTGAAGAAAGAGGAGTTTGTTTGTGGGTTTTTAACATACAATTACACCTATTATAAGGCTCTTTTTTGCCTCAGAATACTCTGTGGCTGGAGGGAACCAGAGCTGCCTTGCTGAGGTGCCATTTATGCATTTACTCTTAGGTATAGGCAAATATTGCTACTTCCTGAGACACTGTGATTAACAACACATCAGTAATGTAGCAACTGGAAAAAAGTTAAACTAAAAATAACATAACACACATACACTATATGTGAGAATGTAAAGCTTCATCTTGAGTTAAACACATAACTTTTGGATAAAAGATATTTACCAAAATATGTAATTCAGTGCACTCTACAAACAGAAAGAATTTTAATGCTACTACCAAACCAAAAATAATTTTTCTAACAATTTTAGTCTTTTTCCTGTTTTTTCTTCCCCCTCTTCTCAACACTCTGTGCTATTACCTTTCTCTTTCCCACTAATATCTGCCAACGAAGCACTTGCAGCTGGTCTCAGTGGTGCCCCAAAAACAGGGTCTGTCCATTTGTTGATCCATAATGTGGCATGTTTTTTACAGGCACTGTCATCTCTAGGTCATTTCAGTCATTTCTGTCTCCCATGAAGGGCCCAGGTTTGTAATAATTCTCTCCTGACCAATTGCTTTTGGAAGCCCCATATTGCATTTCCTTTTGTGCTCGCCCTCGGGTCCATTCTCAGCTTTTCCCATCTTGCAAAGTCTAACAGGGTTATATAATGACAATATTAGTATCTGAAATGGTACCTGAGAGCTTACATCCTCCTATTGTAAAGCTTTATTATATTTTTTTTTAAATAAAAAGAAAAAAAAACCCTTTTAATATTATGTAAATTTATATGTGAATCCTCTGGCACAAAAAAATTTGTCCAACTGCCCCTGGGACTGTCAGTACAGTAAATAGATGGCATCAACAAAACAAAATCAACCACATAATTCTCCACTTTTCAGGGGAAAAAAGAAAAAGCAGCAGCAGCATCTCATGCATTCTGCAAACCTACTAATACTAAAATTTGATTAAAAAACCAAAACCAACCAAAAAATCCCTGATAAACCTTATCATTAGACCTTCAGAAATCGATCTGCTTACACTCTTCATATTTCTGCCATCTTTTAGGGACTTTGATATTTCAAGTGAACTGGTCTATGGTAGCCTGCAAAGAAAGATATCTGTATAAAAATTAAGTGCCCTCAACTTCCTCAATACAAATTCACTATAAATGGTCTATGAATTGTTCTGACTAGCGTTCATGAACTTTTGCTGAATTTATATATTACAAATACTGGAACAGACTTAATAATAGATGTGACAGGCTGAACTACTATAGGGGTGTTAATGCACACCAATCCTGGAAATTAGTTCTCTGTAGAGGTTAAAGCTTAAAACACTTCTTACAAAGAGAAAGGCTAACTGCATATTTTGTGGTTTGCACCTCCATCACTAGACAGGTTTCCAGGTCACATCTGTATGGTGTTCTTCTCAAAATAGAGAGGATTAATCCTAAAAGACCACAAACTTTGTTTGGGTTATCTCAAGATCCAGGTTATATGGAGTTAACATGCAAACAGTCCCATTTATTGATTTACCAGAAAGTGACTTGAACTCTCTCACTGACTCCTTCTGCACACTAAATATTACTATGTTTTGCATGGTTTAAAAGCACCATTTTTGTCTCTCAAGTTGTTCATGAGCTAATAGAAAATATCACTTAAGCCTTACTTTAACTTTAGACCAGGTTCTTTCTGAAACAATTGTGCATCCTGCACTCAGAGGAATCCAACTTCCCTGTCTTGATCTTGTTCCAGCACGGTCAGACCATGCCTGGGAACTTCTCCCTGGTTCTACAAGACAAAATCCTGGCTCCAGAAGTATTTTGGCAAGAAATTCTAGAAATCAAGAAAGTTTTGCAGGAAAAAAAGCTTTTTCATTTAAATCTTCAATATCACTATTTAATTGCAAGTTCTCTGCCAAACACTCTTTCATGCCAAGTCCATTTGCATTTTTCTGCTAAATATTGCCTCAAAACAGGAATAAAAATGTTCTAAGAATGCTAGAAAGCAAATGAATACTTTCAAAACTGTCCAGGATTGATATAAACATAAGGAAGAAACAACAAAATGCTCCAGTGTAAAGTTCTGACCAAGAACTGTATCAACTACATCATGGATTTGCGAGCAGGCATCGAGCAGCAAAGAATACTAAAAGCATTTCAGCTCTTATTTAGCTACATGAAAAGAAAAAGAGTTTATTCATGTTTTAATCCTTAATCTTGTCGATATTTGCTGTTTCTGAGATATAGAAACATATAGAAATAACATTGAGATGTTATTTTGATACTTATGGTAACGTTAAATCTCCACTAATCAATGGAAAAAATTTCTCATCAGTGATGAAAATATAGATTCCTCAATGTATTGAAGAGATATCACTGAGAGCAGATTACAGTATCATGCTGCATACATTATACTATTATAGATTTCCACAATACCAGGCAAATTTATGAACAAGGTAATTTTTACAGGCTGTATTTAACAGTTACTTAGAGTCATTTATATTGTGTGATTTGGAGATTTCATTAAATGCAAACTGTGGGCACAAACACGAGTTAAATACACATGTACCTAAATATCAATATTTTAGAGTTTTATATTGTCAATTTTTAGATTTTTATGTTATCAGTGTTTCACAATTACAGTACAAGAGAGAACCATCCTAGTAGCTCTACATCAGAAGCTTTAAATTAGTTAAAAACTGGTTTGGGTTGTATTTTATACCTAATATTAACATTTTTTTTCCAAGGGGTAACATTTGAGCAAACAATCAGTATTTCATAAAAGGTATAAGAAAGCCACCAGTTTCCCAGTTTTTACACATCATCATATAAATGAACAGCCACTTAAAACAAAAAACTACTGATACAACAGTTCAAAAGCAGAAATCATAGAACTATCTAAAATATTCTGTGAGCATTTACAAATGATAACTGCCAAACAATCATCAGTACAAATATTATTCACACACACAAGAAAACACAATAAATAAAATTACTCTTCAGAGTTCTGTATGTGTTTCAGTTTTTGGGAGACTGTTACCAAAGTTTTGTTACATTAACTTTTTTTGAAAAACAGACTGACATGAACAGTGGAAAATTTTTAGAAATTATCTAAGGATTTTGACTGATACAATTTTTAACACAGATTTTAATATTAATATTAATGACACAACTTCTGTAAAGGAAGTCCTGAGTTATCCTCAAATGAGTAAATAGAAACGGAAGCACCTTTAAAAAAATATAATATTGTTCAATACAATCCATTATTCAATTAGAGGGTGTGAGGTTGCTTTACTTTCACTACCCACTAAATAAGTTTTATTTCAGTGCTTATCACTTCTGCTGTTGTGAAAAGAAAGAAAACATAAATATACCCTTTGTTTCAAAAGTTACTGATTACCATTTAAAGATGGAAGACCCCCAAATATTTAAAAAGTTATATCATCCTGCTCCCTTTGTAAGGAGTAACTGAATTTAGAGATAGTGTCAAAGTAAGTTCCCAATTTAAATAGACAACTAAGGAAAATGCAATTAGACATTTGAATATAAAATTTCTGTCAAGTTTTGATGTTGTTGTACTGTCAGAAAGAAAATTGTTTTTCTATAGAACTCTAAAATCTGCACTCAGAGCAAAGGAGAGAATATGCTGAGCAACTGGCAACAAATGCACTGAGCTGGATTTGATTTATTTGGGGAGCTACACAATCAGATAAAGTGTTTGGGATCAGAATAAGCACCTTCTTCAAGGAGCCTGCACAGTGTGCACTGTGATTTTGTACCTCCAAGTGTTATGAAATGGCATCTGACAAGCATTAGGCTCCATTTTTCATAAATATTATTGATAGTTCTTTCCTCAGTGATTACTTCCTGCAAACCCCAAGTGAATGGAAATGAAGAGACTTGCAGACAAGCCATGACTAAAATTTTTCGTGAGGTTTACATAAAGCAGGTGCTTAGCAGTGAAAAGACACATTTAATAGAAGCTCCAGGAATATTTCTTTATTCACAAGTCCTTGTACTTGCCCAGACCCTGCTGAAGCTTTGGCAATCCAAACCACTGGACTCTAATTTAGACACCAGCTCAGCTGTTCAGTAGCTCAGTGACCTGCATGTTTTCTTAGAGGGAAAAAAAACAAAGCATCAAATATTGTGGTTTTCTTTCTTGTACTTCACCTTAGGCTAAAAATAATTTTGCCATTCTTATCTTTCCAGACACTCACAAAACTCCATGTAAAAGACCATTTCCAAAAAAATCTTTCCTTAGTAGTAAGTGATATGTCTGTTTTGTGAGTGCTCGAGATTTATCACTCAGGACATGACAGAAAAACTCAAGTTGTGGCAAAGAATATTTCACAAGCACGTTCATATCCCTCCTGAGAAATCATAAGTATCTGCTTTTTTTTTTTTGAGAGAGAGTTATGAGTTTGAACCAAATACTTAGGTCAAAAGCTTAAACATTAGTTAGAAAAAATGGGCTTTTTTTTGATCCAACATCAATTTTTGCAAGAATTTTGCAAGGCAAATAGATGGGCTTACATCACTGGATTTCTTTCAGTATTGATTCTAATCCACCTCCACAGAGTCATACGTTACTCCTGGCAAAACATATTTAACACAAGCACAGTTTTTAGACTTGAGGAATACATATTTTTAACCTGATCTTCCATGATCAATTTAAAGGCAACCTAAAAATACGTTACAGTTTTTCACAGGTTGTTTTCTACCCTTTTGCAAATCAGCTGTTAGGGAGCTTTTTCTGTCTGGGCTCAAAATACCTGCCAGTCGTGGTGCGATGGTGCACAACTGCATTCCCAGGATACAGCTGTTCACTCAGAGGCCTCAATCCCAAACCATTAACATCAGTGAAAGGTTTTTATTGATTGCACTGGATGGCAGAACAAGCTGTACCCGGGACGTGTTGCAAATTGCATTTGATGTGCTCTGGCTTTTTCCCTTTAGGTACTTGTGTGATCATAGCAAAAGACAGTTTAGCTTAATTCCTTACTGATTTAGAAGCGGGGTTTGGGTTTTTTTTTCAAAGAATTTCCTAAATTGAGTTTCTTCTGATATCCAATCAGTTCTAAGAATCAAAATTTCCTCTGTTTTGTTTCTTTTTCAGTTCATCAGATCTCTCTCAGGGGTTCACACTGTGCTGTTTGGTAGAAGCATGAGAGAACCTGAAGATCCTGTACTGCTGAGGGATGAAAGTAAGATAAATTAAGGAATGCATTTATGACCTCTGTTGCTCCAAGTTACTAGGAAAAGTTAAAGGATTCAAGCTAAGCATTATACATATATATACATCTATAAGCAGACCTTTCAGTCAGTCTCATCACCCAGTATGGAGATGCCATCATATTTCCTTGCCTTTCCAAAGCCAAAATGCACAAGTTGTACAAGCCATGAGTTGCTCACAGAAAATGATTTTTAGCTTTCCCAGTGAATAAGTTAATTGCCCTCGCACTTTAAAAATTAATTGGGGGGGGGGTTATTTTGGATGCTGCTGCTGCCCATGTAAATGTGATTTATCACTGGTAGATACAGGTAACTCTGTATTTTACAGGGCTTTGCAGTAACAAGCAATTACATGTTCCTGCCTGCTTTGCACCTGTGTTAATACCACTTCCAAAGCTATTAAATATGCATCTGTGTCCAAAATGAGTCCTGCCTGCTTGGATATGACAGATGAGAGCCAGAGTCTTTATTTCTTTCCCTTTTGGGACACTGATATCCTAAGTAGCTATTCCTCTCATCATAAGGACTGGTTTTCTCAAGTTGAACTCAGTAAGGCTTTGTTGGCCCGAAAATACTCTAATTAAAGTTGCCAAAATGAATTCTTAACATTCAGATTCTCAAAGAAAGAAAAGGTGGGAGTCATGCATGGAAAGGCAACACACTTTTTGGGTTAGTCTACTGGGGACTTTCTTGCAATTTTCCATACTTTCATTGAAAACAAAAAGAAATTTTATTGTTATCGTGTAATGTTGCTTTCCTTTCTCTTCTCCTGGGAGCTTCAGGAAGGGATAAAGTTCTTAATTTAAGAGGGACAGCAATAAATAAATTTTCTTTTCGCATACGCTTTAACATTTAAATGTATATTTTTCTGTTTTTTTTTTTTTTAAATTGTATTTAATTTTATTTTTCTTTTAACCATAGCTGCAAGTTTTAAGAACACACAAATAAAGTGAGAATTTTGAACAACAGAATGTTTTGGGAATATGTTCTTTCCATCTTTTATGTTTTGCCTAATATAAACATAATTTCTGTTTCTTCCATGGTTAATAACTGTAGGCACATGTGACTGCACACACACAGAGCTGGGATTTTGTGTTTTCAAGTTCTCTACAAAACAGATAGAGGCATTTGCCAAAGGTTAAATATTCCTTATCAGGTTCAACCTCTGTTATTGATCTGAAGATTTATGGCTAAAATTGAGTAAACTATGTGACCTTGAACTAGAGCTCCTTGGATTTAAAATGCAACTTAATTCAGCCCTATTTTATATATTATTTACAAAAGCACATATTTTGACTTCTAAACCCATGACTTCCCCTGTCTTTTGAGGGAAAGGGTAAAAAGGTCACATTGTGATTAAAGCTGAAAACTTTCAGCACTTTCTGTTATCCAGTTTGAGATGGGACTCAGACATTTCAGCCTGATTTTTTTAAATGGTTTCCCAATTCCACAGAGGTGCCTGCAGACACTTAAGATATTCAAAGGCTCCTTTACAGTGCAGTAGGAGTCTGACAATTCTGCTGCTGACGTGCTTATTCCCATAAAGTGTGAGCCACTCCGAGAAATCTCAACGGCCCACGGCTGCATTTTTAAGCAAATTCGTTGTTTTGACTAAAGACAGTTAAAATTTTAGAACAATAGCAGCAACAACATCCTATGGTGCCACTGCAAGTCACTTTATACTCACCCAACTGCATGTATGGCATGACCATGTGTGAGGGGAGAAGGACCAGAAAATATAATTTTGCTTATACAAGGCTGGTTCAACCCAAAGTCTGAGCTGTGAACGTTTCGGTGCTGCCAAAGGGCCTCACCTGTTACCTCCCAGGGACAGACCCGGAGTTGTGGCTCCTTCCAACCTTCTGGCAGCAATTGCTTCCAGTGGTGAGAAGCTCTCAAGCCGCTGCTTGGCCCCTCAAACCACCCGATCCTCCAGCCCAGGGCGTCTCTGAAACAAGAAGACATGCCATTAAAATTCGTGTGTGTTTGTGGAAAGTGTCTGGCTGAACAATTAAAAATGTATGATGCTGCATTCTCCAGAAGAGTTGAAAATAAAGTGTAGTAACGATGAAATATTCATATTTAAAGTGGAGAACATAATATATCACGCTACAGTTTAGTCACTAACAATTACTATTCCGCACTTTTGGACTAAATGTGCTGACGTACAGTAGGGAAACAGGTAAGGACTCTTATTTTTACTTCCACATATCCAAAATAAAATCAATTTCAGTCAAACTTTGTGTATGACAAAGGCTGGTTTTTTAATGATTACTGTTCACCTTGAGTGCAAAATTTACTTCTCATTTAAAGCAAGCTCAAAGAAACTTTTAAAACAAAGTAAGCAAGAAAGGAGGCCTGGATGCTCTAGAAAGATCTTCACGTGCTGTTGCACTTAATGTAGAATTCACAGGATTTCAAGAGATGCTTCCTCATCTGTACCCATTATCTCTTAACTCAGGAGTTTATATATGGTTTATATATAGCAAAAGCCCCGGAAGGAGTGACAGGGCACAGAGCTCTGGTGAGAGGCACCAGAGCTGGAGGTGTTTCTCCAGCTTTGCTGTGCACAGGCCGGTGCCTCTGCTCATGCAGATAGAGGAAATTAATCCAGCGGATCCTCACAAGAGTATTAAGGTTTGGTTTTCACATAAGAGAGGATTATTGTCAAGTTAAATAATTTTATGTGTCAGACTTATCTCAGCAGTATGACTCCTTGCAAGTTGCCACCTCCCAGCACCAGGGAATGAGAAGATAAGACAAAGAAAGGCAAGTGCTGTGGCCACCCAAACATGATTTATTCAAAATAGTGAAGAAGAGTGGGATAGTAAGTGAAGGAAGAAAAGTTTCTGTCTTGAATGTCTTATATAATAAGATCTAAACCAACCTCTTCATGACTCGGTAGTTTAGCCATCAGATTTGACAATAATTCCACAGAAATTTCACAGCAACTTGAGATAAGAGCAACTAGAATATCTTGTGGTTCCCAGCAATAACTTGTGAACTAGACACGTCAAACACTCTTTTGCTGAGCTGGTAGTTTCAATTGTTCTGCTTTGGGCTTCCAGGGACTTTGTATATTAGAGAAATTGTAAAGTTTGAGTACTTAGAAAGCCTACACCCACCAAGATATAAAGGGGCCAAAGTGATATGGTTAACAGAGGACAGCAATAGGATCAGACAAAGGAGACCAGGAGTAAGATTTACAGTGAGAGGCAGATACAGCCTGACTCAGCATAACAGTGATAAAATCATCATCACAGAGGAAGTGTCTGAGTTTAAAAAGAACACAGGCTAGAAATGTCAGCAATATGCACCCTGAAACCAGAAAGAAAATCAGGAAGGGGAATATGGAGATCACTTAGAACACTTTAAATGCAGCCTTTTGGAAGGTAATAGATGCTGTTAGAACTGTCAGCTGTAAACTTGATGTACTTGAAATGTCTTGTCCAATAAAGATCCCAAATGTCACTCAAAATGATCAGACTATTTATTACAGAATTTGTAATGGAAACATGAAAGAAGGCATGGAACGATAGAACAGAGACAGATGGACTGTTTGCTACATGTCATTTAATATCAATCAGTGACAAGAATTTATTATCATAGTTGCTGCTTTAATGCACTGAACAAGCCTAAAAACATTCAACACACTAGATGGTAGGTGATAATTAAAATGCATGTCACAAGGCTTCAAAAAGCGTAATAGTCTCCTGAAAATATCCAGTATAATTTATTTATTAAAAAAATATATACCTCAATTGGATTTTGAAGAATTAAGGTTGTTTCTCTACCAGTAGCCACTGAAAGATGAACTGAACACTTACCTCATATTGATAATACTGTTTTCTGCTTTTTCTTCACCAAAACTTAACTTTTAAGCACGATCCTTGCAAGAGATTTAATGGAAACAGGACAGAGGGACTGAACAGACAGAGGAGAGCTTAGTGAGGGAACACAAAGTTGTTGGAGACAGCCCAAATACCATGTTTTTACCCACGCACTAAATACCACATTTTTATTTTTCCATTCATGTATCCTACAAGTTATTTCTCAAAGCAACTCTAATTCAGCAGCACTGTGCATTATATTTACATATATTGCCTGCAGGAGAAATTCACCAAAAAATATTTGTTATACTGGAAATTACTGGAGACCTTTTCTCTTTCCCTCCCTTGACATAGTTCTTCATCTCGTTTAGAGCTGCCAAGTCCAGGGAGCCCTTTTTGACATTTCCAAACAGTTATCTATAAGCCAAGTTATTTATGCAAGAGCATTTTCTAGGAAAAAAATACTTGAAAAATATGCAGACCAAAGAATACAATGACCTCACTGTATACATTTAATCTCTAGGTTATCCCAAAACACAGAAATCTAAATACCAGTGTCCATTTTTACCATAATGAAGAAAAATGTATTTATACATGATATATTTTTGTAACAGTTTAAATAACTTTAAATTATTATGAAAATCTCATTTGGAAATTGAATCAGAGCCCAAATTTCCCAGAAAATTTCATATTTTCACAAAAGTCCAGTGGCAGATATTCCAACTATTTCAATAGTGAACCCAAAGATAGTTTGGTGTCCAAAGATAGTTTTGGTGTCCAATTCCCTTTTGCAAAGTCCACCTTTATTTGCTAAGTTAATCCCATATTTCAGGTGAAATGTATTCCTGGTTTCTCTTTATATTAGTCTTCCATCTTCCCAGGGGCAGCATAAATATACCATGATTATGAAATTAATCACGTAATTAATATTGATCACTCTTTCTTTTCGAGGTCACACTAGCCCTTACCTTAACACTAACCTGAGTCATGTTTTTTGACAAGGGAGAGAGAATATTCCAGAAAAAAAAAAAAAGGAAAAGAGGCCTTTTTCCACTCTGCTCCTTCTCCCAGTATTCATAGCCTTCTAATGAATCCTTTCAGCAATATTTATATACTAAGACAACTAAAAACTAAATAACAGAGACCAAATAATTTCAAACTCATATTCCAGCAGGATTCTGGAACATAGAGACAGAAAAATTTAAGACCTTTGCAATTTTCCACAGGAGATATTTTTGTTATTGTACTGATGTTGCCAAAATGTTTAATGTTTGCCATCTCTGTAAAATCATTTAATCAGCTGAATTGTCCGTCCATAACCAAATCTGCCCAATAGCACCTAACCTGACCCACAGCTTTGAAGGATGGAGGGGGTATTATATTCACACATATACCTAGAAATCTTCCCCTTCACATAAACTGAGGATCTGGCCTTTTTCTCCAAGCCCAGTTGCTTAGCAACTCATGGAAGGGTTTTTTAGAACATTTTTAGAAAATAAGGCCCAGTTGTTTAACAACAGAGTTCTAAGGCTCGAAATTGTGGGGTTTTTAATAGCTGAGGCTCAGTAACACAAATCTTAAAGAGAAAATCATACTCCCCCTGAAAACTTTTCCCTCATTTCAAAAGGTAGGAATTCCTGGTTGTTGCCTTTCCCGTTTCTTTTTATTTTAAAGCCAATATTGATCAGGTTCTGCTGCCATTTCCCTGCCCTTCCCCTGAGCACGAGAGGTGCTGAATGTGTTCCCGGGTTCCCATTCCGCCTGCTCTCAGAACGATCCTTTCACGAGCACTTATGAGGAATGACAAATGAGGTCCATAATGTGCCATGTCACCGGAGCCCTAATCAAATTAGACTTACTACCTTTGCAATCACAAGTGGGCCTTCATGTTTTATATCCCAACACAATTTGAGTCAAGTTAGCTTGCCAGAACATTGCTCCCATCCTCATAAAAGTATATGACAGCTATAACCAGCATTTTGGGAGCAGGCAGGTGCAGTACAATACAGGCACGGGAAGTCTAATGAAAATACACAGCAGACTCTTTGCCTCACTAAAAACTGGATTTCCATTAGCAACTCAGACAAATACCACTGGCAATCAATTAAGAGTGATTTGGGCAAGACATTCTGCAGGTGTCTGAGATTAATTCTAATGGCATTAGTTCACTGATGTGCTAATTCTGGATATTTATTTAGGCAGCATAGTGTGGCTTTGCCTCTAACATCACTGGCTGGGGTTTATTTCCTACTACGAGGAACCTGAAAGGCAAAATGCTACAAAAATTTGTTTTGCCTAATGAAAAGGCTTGTGCTTGAGTGCTTACAAACTGTGATTCAAAAACCAGGAAAGAAAGTAGTCTGAGATATACATCATTTACTGCTTGATTAAAACACTTAAATAAGTCCTGAACTGTTAAGAATAATAAGTAGCATCTCGGTGCATGATTTCTAATCCAATTATTTTTAAGAACTGCTAGAAATATAGCTAAGCATTATCACCTTTGCCCTGAAATCATTGCAATCACACAGCAAATGAATAATTCAGGCAAATAGTATTAGGAATTTGTTTATAACTATTCCATGAGAGTCTAGTACCATGAACTTAATAGATAGACAAAAAAAAAGATAAAGTTCACAACTGTCTCACCAGGAAGACATTTTGGGTTGCAATGTTATATGGAGGGATAAATGATGTGTTAACATAGGACTGCAATATTTGAAATTCACTGAAGAGAAAATTTATTACGGCTTCTAATGGATATTTGTGCTGTGCCATCTGACAGAGCATTTTACAAATTTCAATGTGTTTGTAAACATTAAAAAATTTTAGCCTCAATCTGTGAGATTCCATTTCCTGATGGTTAATGGGTCTTGCTTTTCACCTTTATGGCTATTGTTTCAGAGCAGGGCCAAGCTGGATCTGATACAAAGCAGATTCCTCACTCACATATTTTGGTTAGCTTAGGTACCTTTAGCTCAAGGAAATGCTTTAGTTTAACTTATGTGACATTTCCCAATATTCCACAATGAATGCCAGATCCCAGTCTGCCTAC